TGTGACGCCCGGATGTATATCAGAAGTTACGGCTATTAAGTCTCTTGAATAGGTTGACCATCCGGGCTTATAACAGCAAGGGATGAAGGACTTATGGTATTACTTACGGTGTGTGCAGAATAAAGATAGCACAATTGAGCACAAATTACCATATTGTTCTCAACGGCAGTACATGCGAATTTAAATTATTACACGTCGTCAAGCTACAATGTATACAGCCATTTCACCATTTCCTACATTTTAGCCACAGCAAGTAATTTTTATGGATGACATCATCAGCGTGCACATTAATTTTCGCCTGATTTTGGAAAAGAAAAAAAGAAATGTTGTTTCCTAATCTGACTGTGGTCAACATGCCGAAAATGGGCAAAGATGTCTGCTGCCATGCTGGAACGTGGATGGCAGATACACACGTATACAATGTAACTATGAAGAGAGGAGACAAGAAAAGGCTCTGATTTAATGTTTGTTTCTTACTTTAATGCAGTGATATGTGATTTAGGGTATAGGATTTTCTTCTAACACAACCAGTAAGGTTCTCACCTGCTTACGTTTCGATGTCTATCAGACACCTTCCTCAGAGCTTCTGACTGGAGTTCTGCAACTCGCCGCTATTTAACGCCAAAGTAGGTGGCGCTTTTGCGGCGAGAATGCAATCCCAAACGTGGCTGAGCTTGTATCCCCCCTCGTCCCGGTTCATCACTGGGGTAGACTTCCTTATCCAGACTGCTTCTTTAATCCAACAGATTCTTCTGTTGTCCTCCCTATCTATGACCCTGGCACCCTCCCAGTCTATCACACAATTGTTTCTGGCAACATGATCTGTGACTGCCGATTTCTTCTCTTCTTTTTGTGCTTGTTGTTTCTGGGAGCGTGTATATCTTACGGTTTCGCTGTTGTCTGCCTCTTTTCTGTGTTCTTCCAGTCTTTTGCCAAAGGTCCTGCCAGTTTCTCCAATATACACTTGATCACAGCTTTTGCATGGTATTTTATATACGCAGTCTGTTTTCACGTGGTCCCCCATCTTGTCCTTGGGGTGGACAAGCAGGTTCCTCAATGTTGTTTTTGGTTTCACTGCTGTGGATACCTGGTGTTTCCTGAATACCCTTTCTAGTGGTTCGGTTACTCCTTTCACATATGGGATAATCACCATGGCCCTAGTTTTCTCCCCCTCTTTCTTGTTCTTCTCTGTCTGCTTTGACCTCTTCCCTTTCCGTTCCACCTTCCGAAAGGTCCATTCCGGGTACCCACAACGGACAAGGGCTCTTCTGATGTGCTGTGTTTCTCTTTCCTTGTCCTCCTCCTCTGTCACCACCGAGTTACATCTGTCCATAAGGGTGCGGATGACTCCCAGTTTCTGGTGCAGTGGATGGTGGGACTTGAAGTTGAGATACTGGTCTGTATGTGTACTTTTTCTGTACACTAGAAGCTTTACTGTGCCATCCCCCTTTCGTACCAGGAGAGTATCCAGGAACGGTAATGTGTTGTCTTTCTCCTCCTCATGCGTGAACTGAATACTTCCTGTGGGATCTATGTTGTTAAGAAACAATTGTGTGATAGACTGGGAGGGTGCCAGGGTCATAGATAGGGAGGACAACAGAAGAATCCGTTGGATTAAAGAAGCAGTCTGGATAAGGAAGTCTACCCCAGTGATGAACCGGGACGAGGGGGGATACAAGCTCAGCCACGTTTGGGATTGCATTCTCGCCGCAAAAGCGCCACCTACTTTGGCGTTAAATAGCGGCGAGTTGCAGAACTCCAGTCAGAAGCTCTGAGGAAGGTGTCTGATAGACATCGAAACGTAAGCAGGTGAGAACCTTACTGGTTGTGTTAGAAGAAAATCCTATACCCTAAGTATCTTCCAACCTGATGAAATTATTTACGGGAAGTGATATGTGATGTTGGCTGGGTTCCCACTGAATCAAAACCATTTGTACAATCATGATTGAGTCAAAATTTTAAAATGTAGGGACCTTGTTTTTTTTCGGCCCATCTTGTTTTTTTTTTTTTTCACCCGCTCGCATAAGATTTGTAGTCTGCGGAGGATGTCATCCATAAAATTTACTTGCTGTGGCCTAAGTTGTGATTAATTGTTTTCCAAGCAGAGAATTTGTCTTGCTCCACTAAGATAGAACCTCAGCAGTATTCAGGGTACTTTACATACCTTAAGGGGATGTACCATGTTTGAATTTTACACATTATACAAAGGACTCATAGTGCGTCTCAGATCTTAATCTTAAGTACACGGTAGAAAGATTTATTGTGACCAGCAGGTTTCTCAAACAACTCAGCTTGTCAGCAACAAATAAGCTGTTGAATGTTTTTTATTTATTTATTAATTTATTTTGCACAAAAAAACAAGATACAAGGTGTAAAGTAAAGTAAATTAAATCAAAAACACTGTGCAGGAGAAGATGAAGGCTTAAAGGCTTGTACAAGCCCTTCTCCTTATTTAATAAACATAACAAAACAATCACAATTAAACTGATTAACCGAAATACTTAAATGAAAATCAAGGCAAATGAAGAGAAAATATCAACAAATCGTAAATACACTGTAAGTACCCATTATACAGTTAAAAACAAAATTATAGCAAAATAAACATTACTAATGAAGAAGCTTGCAGTTGAAGAATGTTGAATGCAGTTGATATTTTACACTAGGAAACATTGGGTATTTTCTATGATTTGAAATTATATCATATATAAGCTGAAACACTGATCCATCACACAAGGCTAATTGCTTGTTGCATAATTTTCTCATTTTCATTTCTTCAAACGATTAGCCATAATTTTTCTTGCCTGAATTGCAACATAAGGCTAGCCTCAGGATGCTAGACTGTTCCCAGGGCCAATACATAGGCCAGCCCCTTTGCTCAGTGCCTGTTGCAGACAATATCTTTCTTGACACAACATTTTTGAAAACTCCATGTATAGACGGAATGTCATCCTTTAATACATGTGTGTGAATACAACTTTAAATGAGAATAATCTCTGTTCTGCCAAAGTGCTATGCACAATGTGTTTTGCACAGGTGCGGCTGTACGTTCTGCCGATGTGCTCAAGTTAAACCTTCCAGTCTTGAACAGCTGTTATGTCCACCAACCAGACTGTGAAAGTCAATAAGGACATCAGGGCCTTTTCAGGAGTACTTGTAAAGTATGGATAAGGAAGAGCTGCTGTACAATAGAAACATGATATACATGTAGTTAACCCTTGTCCTGCGGAGCCCAACAATTGCTGTTTTTCACATACATGTACAGTACCATGTAGAACTCATGTATACAATGTACTAGGTACGATTTTGGGGTATTTCTCATGCAACGCATCACACCACAGCAAAACACAACAAATGTGGAAGTAACTATGCCACCGCAGGGCAAAAAAAGTCAGGGGTCTATGGCCTAATTAAGACACGAAATTATTGGAGAATATTGTGTAAAAAATGCCAACAGGACTATGGTTAACTTTCTCCCTGCTGAAGAAGCCTTTCGGCACCAAATTTTGTAATTTCACAGTTTGGTTATGGGGTTAAAGCAGCAGGGAGAAGGTTAAAGATGTACTAGTCTAGTAGTCTGATGCATTAACCTTCTCCGTGTTACGTAACCCCATAATTAATACAAAATGCCTCTCAAAAAGCTAACCCAGCAGTAAGATGGTTAAAGAAACAGGGTCTGGCATTTTTAAATTTGTTTATCCCTCTTTAGGCTGTAGCATAATATGCTGTAACAGGACTTGTCTTTTTTTAGCTCTACGTAATCTTGACATACATGTATTTTCACTGTGTTTGTTCAGGTTTTTTATCTTAAGTAAAGGTTATTGTTAACCCTGAGGCCTTCCACCAAAGTTATTATTAAATATATTATTATTATTATTAATGAGGCTTGCAAATTGTTCATCGTTGCCTTGAATAAAACAATCATGATTGGATATTTTGTACATACAATTTGTACAATGTACTAGTAGTCTCATAATTATCTCTGTAAGAGCTTCCAAAACAACTTGTACATGTAAGTTGTGTGTTTCAATATTCAACACACACATCTTAAAGTTTCAGCTCAAAGTTAAACTTTGTAAAGTATCAAGTTTTGTATAACCAAAGGCCATAGCTACGGGTAAATATGGCCATACATTTTTGTATACATGTGATGATGTATGGCTTCCTACAATGCTCAGTCACGACATACAAGAAATGTAGTCAATTGCAGCTCATCAGTATTCAGATTGCATCCCCCACCTCAGATAAAAGCAGTTCCTTCCATGGAAAGTCACCAGCAAATGAGACATCTGTCCTGCACTGGCCATGAAATTTGCACTGAGCTTCGTTTAATCTTTACGTGACTTCTCGCAAAGGTCAGGAGTGTGCCAAAAATAGTCTCCTTGATCCTGCACTTGTAAACTTAAAGTGCTTTGAAGACTTCCATATGTGTTCTCTACATTTCACAGAGTGAACGTGCATATATGCATGTGTACTCTTTGATATGGAAAAAATACATCATACTGTAAAAAAAATCATTTGAATTGTCTTCACATTGCAAAATTTCACAGTTCAAAATTTTAAGTTTTCAAATTTATAAGTTTTCAAAATTTTCCAACTTGAGGAAAATGGACTTGTGTTCATGAAACTTAATATTCACGGTGGAGGGGGAGGGGAGCTAACTTACATGACGTACAATATTATTGATAATGGTTCATGACACAATGTAACTTAATGATATAATAATATCAGCTGCAGTTATATACATTTCCCTGTAAGTGTCAAAGAAACATCTTAAGAGGTTCATTATCATTTGACATGTATCTTTTTTATATATCAATTATATGTTTTAATCAAATTTCGTTTAAACTTATAGAGGTCAAGTGATCATGAATACCAAGTTAACTTTTCAAAGGTCATGGTCATTTCAGGATCCGGGCCAGTCTAGAGACATAACATACATTTCGATCTGTACTAGTTACATGTATATGTACTACTGTTACATAATTTTTTTTTCTTTTCAGGTACTCCAAGGTGGTGGCTAACCATGCCTTTGTGGTGTTTGGCATCACTGTGGCCACCCTGGTCACCTGTGCTGTGGTCAGCTTCACCGTCCACCAGCTGCCCAACTTCTCAGACCCCATCGCTGTGAGTCAGCCAATTTTTTCAAAGCCTTATGATCGTAAATATTCTCTTCAAACACATTTGCATATCTCAATGGTAGACGTAGACTTTGCAACACAGAGTTGGAGGGCTGGTCACCATAAATTATATTTAATAATTATATATGAAATTGTTTTTGAGTAAGAATAAACAGAGCAGTACTTTATTTGGCTACTTTACCATCTGAAGGTAAACATTATGTACAATTATTAAATTAATGTTTTGCTTTGCAAATGTTACCATAAAGATTTCTGAGTTTTTTTCCTGTCTTCACACTCATTCTCAGTCACTGATGGAATATCATTTTGTTTAATTCTTAGACTCCCTTAACAAATTTTTTAAATTGTACCACTTGGTTGAAACTTGGTTGGAATGATGGCCCTCTACATGTTTTCGGTTAGTTATAGCGAAGTGTGTGACTGTATACTTGTAGCAACCACTTTTGCCATTCTGCAGGGATTTGAGCCGCGAGGAACTGTGCTCGGTGACCGACTGTTCAGCTGGGACAACCTGAACGATGCCACCTGCAGCTTCTCCGGCTGCAAGCTGCACAACATTCCTCTCAAGTTCGCCCACGAACAGCAACCCAAGGACGACAGCCATGAGGATGATGATGAGGAGGACCCAAGGTATTTTCTTTGAAAATGAATTTCCCAGTAGTGAATGAACCAACAAAACGACAGTCCTCTTATTGTTGAACACATTGTAGACTTTCTGTGTTCTTTCTGTGCCTTGAAGAAGGTTTTGTTTTGTCAGTCACTTTTCTTGACTGTAAGCCATGAGGACGATGATGATGATGAAGACCCAAGGTGTTTTGTTTGTCTGAAAAAGAATTTTCTACAAAACAACCGTCCTCTTATTGTCACACATGTTGTAGACTTTGAACCATTTCTGTGTTCTTCCCGTGGCCTTGAAGAAGGCACACCTTCTGTTTTGTCAGTCACTTTTTCTTGACTGAAAGCCTGTTACTTTGTACCACCTTGACCACTGCACTTGCCGTAGGGCAACTGACCAGGACCGCCTGCCTGTGGTGGAACTGGAACTTGTCCACCATTCCCTTGACCACTCGGGGAATGGCCTCTGGGATTCCCTGCCGCCCAATCTCTACCAGACATCCGGCATGGATCTGTTTGACGACTGGTACCGTCTAGGACTTTGAAATACAACACTAAACCAAAACTCATTCTACTAAAACCACACCCAAGTCTCTCTTTTCGTACAAGCCAATGAGTGGCATGTAGATGTCCCCTATTTTAATTCTTAACAATTACCCAAACAACGTTTATTCCCAAACCTCAAGAGCTGTCCTTCAGGATTTATCTTAACCAAGGTTGACCAGGTTCAATAACACCCTTGCTGATCCAGTTTTTTTTCACCTTGTTGGCCAGATTTATAATGCTGTACCAACTAAGCATGGTCTTCAAACTTACGCTTTGTTGGTACTGCAAAACTTACCCCTAGCAAAAAAAAAATTATCTCCGCATGAGCTTGTTACGATACTTGCACTAAATGTTGGTGCTGAACAGTTAGGTTAACACCAAATATGCATTGTACTTTGAAGTTAGTATATTGTTTATTGCGATATAATTTCCTTTTAGAAAATTGTGTTTAGCAGCACAGCACATCAATCGGCAGAACGTACTGCACCTGTGCAAAACCCGGATTTTTCATGGTTTTCGTTAAACGTTCAGTCAACGTTGCTTTTAGAATTTTGCCTGTTGCAGACAATATCTTTTTCAACATAACTTTTGTAAACTATACACAGGATGTCATCCAAGACATTCTGCTGAAGTGCTATGCATAATTATACAAGTTTCTTGTAGGCACAGTACGTTCTACCAACGTGTTTAGCATCACCAGGTAGTAACTTGTTTGCACCACCTTTAACACAGGTACGATGATGATGACTATGATGATGAGGGAGACTACAGGGTGGTACGACCCGGCGTGGTGGAGGACATGAAGGATGGAGGCCGGCCTTACCCCGGGCACGTAGAAAACATCGGGTTCACGGCATCATCCGCCACAGCCGCCCCACCATCACCCGAGCAGCCCACACCGTGGAACCCCAACAACGGGACACTGGTACTGGACTCTCCTGGTCAGGACTTCGTCGACGTGACCACCTCACCTAGTGCTGCCACTCCGGCCACTGCTGCTGAGGCCAGGGTGGTCAGTCCTGTCGGTCAGAAGTGGACATCCTCACCACTCACACACAGACCCAGGCAGAAGAGGACCATTGGCCTGTGTCAGATCAACCCTAGGCCTCTCCAAGTCACCTTCCCCTGTAACAACCCAAGTGAGTGCCACATTTTAACATCTCAGGTTATCAGTTACATCCTGTGTACACAGAGTCTTTACTGGTTCTGTGAAAGAAAATCCCAATATCCTATGTTCTACCAACCTGGTGAAACTATTTTCAAATATCTTGATGTATCTTTTGTATTTGTTTCTCTCCAGGCAGACAGTATGCCCGAATGGTGTTCGAGTCTGCGGGGAACTTCCACGATGAGTTTAACCTCTTCACCCTGCCGGCCATCCTCAGTATGTGCTCCCTGGAGCAGGTGTTAGTCCGGGACCACGTCCAGTTCCCCAGTCTGTGTGTCACGTCCTCTTGCGACGACTGCTGTCCCAGCTGGTCCCTGGGCAACTACGTTGCACTCCTGCAGAACCGAGAGTCATGCAGTGCCATCACACAGGGAGACGTCAAGGCAGTCCTGGGGAGGCTGAAGCAGTGTTCTGGCTTCTACCACAACAACAGCCTAAAACAGGACTGTTGGAAGGCGGGAGAACCATACCAGGACAGTTGCCCCCGGGTACCCGCACAGTGTGTGGAATACAATGCAGTGCACTCCATCCTGCACTACCTTGTAGACAAAGACTTCCTCAGCCCTGATCAACCCAATGTCGACATCCTTCGCTACGCCATGGTGTTTGTTCCCGTTGCCAGCGGCCAGGCAATGATGGACATCTACCAGGACAAGTTTGACAAGAAAACCATCTCGGACGGCGTAACGAGAGTCGTTGGCATCGACTTTGGGATAAAGTACACGATGTTTGAGCACTACCTCCGGATGGATACTGTGTATCCCTGCATCGCCATGGCCATTGTCATCATCATCATCCGTCTCTACACGGGCTCGGCCTTCATTACCTTTATGACGGTCTTCACCATCGTCAGCTCCCTCATTGTGTCGTACTTCTTCTACACCCTCGTGTTCCAGTTCCCGTTCTTCCCCTTCATGAACCTCACCACCGTCATCCTGCTGGTGGGAATCGGAGCAGACGACGTGTTCGTGTACTGTGACATTTGGCAGCACAGCAAACAGGAGAGACCAGGCTCCTCCTTAGTAGACATCGTCTCAGAGACCCTGGGACATGCAGCCTTATCCATGTTCGTGACAAGCTTCACCACAGCGGCCACCTTTTACGCCAACTTTGTCAGTAAGATAACGGCCATTCGCTGCTTCGGTGTCTACGCGGGCACTGCCATCCTGGCCAACTTCATCCTCATGATCACCCTCATCCCATCCACCGTCGTCATCTATGAAAAGTACATCGCCAACATCTGCACCTTCAAGAAGAAAAGCAATGTCTACTCCCTCAAGAAGAGCTGCGTCGAGATCTTCTGTGACCTTGGCAGGAAGGTCGAGTACGAGCTGTCAGAAATGTCCAGGATATTCTTTGACAAGCTCCTCCCCTGCATCGTCATCAAGTACCGGTACGTGTGGCTGGTGTGGTTCGTGGGGATGATGGTGGGAGGGTTCTAGCGTCCTGTTCGTGATCCGGGGGCTTCACCTTCCGAGCCAGAAGGACTTCCAGGTCTTCAGCAGATCCCACCCCTTTGAACAGTACGACATGGTCCACCGGGAGCAGTTCTGGTTCGAGAAGGCGCAAGACAACGAGTACGCCTACCTCCCCATCACCATGATCTGGGGTGTCGTACCAAAGGATAACGGAAATCACCTCAACCCAGACAGCCGAGGTAAAGTCATCTTTGATGACACCTTTGACGTTACAAGCACGGCGTCTCAGGAGTGGCTGAAGGGATTCTGCTTCCGTCTCAGAAACCAGTCCTTCTACCAGCCGACTCCGGGACCACAGCTAACCAACTGCTTCATCGAGCTGTTCCAACAGTGGATGGACCGGGAGTGTGCGGACGAGCTGACGGGAGAGGACTTCCACCCCTGCTGTAACAAGTACGCCTTCCCATACCCCAGAGACGTCTTCAAGTACTGCATCAAAGTGGCCACCATGGAGCTAGACAACATGCCCAGATTCAGGTTTTACAGGGAAACCCCCGGGCCAGGTTTGACGAGAATGACAGGATCCGGGGTCTCATCATTGAATTTGACAGCAAGTACAAGTTCACGCTCGCTTTTGACACCATGGACAAGTTTTACCACGAGGTCGAAACGTGGATGCAAGGTGAGATGAAGAGTGCGCCTTCGGCTATGTCGCGCGGGTGGTTTGTCAGCTACTTTGACCACTATGCCCTGCAGGATAACCTGGCAACCGGGACCCTGATTGCCTTGGGTCTGTCTGTCGCAATAGCATTGGCCGTGATGTTCATCACCACCCTTAACGTGCTCATCAGCCTGTACGCCATCTTATCCATCGTTGGAACGATCGTGGTGACGGTCGGATCCCTGGTTCTGCTGAACTGGGAGCTGAACATCCTGGAGTCAGTCATCATGTCGGTTGCAGTGGGGCTGTCGGTGGACTTTTCAGTGCACTACGGCGTTGCATATCGCCTGGCGCCAGAAAAGGACAGGGAATCTCGTGTCATCTTTTCTCTCTCCAGAATGGGGTCTGCGATCACGATGGCGGCCCTGTCCACCTTTGTCGCCGGTGCTCTGATGATGCCGTCAACGGTTTTGTCGTACGTCCAGCTGGGAACCTTCCTCATGCTCGTCATGACCATCAGCTGGGGTTACGCAACCTTCTTCTTCCAGAGCCTGTGCCGGATGCTGGGCCCGGAGGGGAACTGCTGCCACATCTCCATCCCGGCCTGCCACCTGCCATGCGACGGGATGCACATCGTCAAGTCCGACTCTGCCCAACAGCCTACTACAGGTGCTGTATCCTACGAAATGGAGCCGCTGACGTCACAAAAAGTCTCCCGATACAGACAGCGGGGGGACACGCTCCAAGTGTCCGTCGCCACGGTGAACGGCAGTTTGCGGCTGCCACCCAAAGGCAGGGCGGCCTCCAAGCTTCCCGACCAGTTGACAATCGTAGGTGCACGTCAAAACCGGGACCCGTATACAGAGAAGGACCTAAACACCATAACCATCCGGCAGAATGGACAAAGCAGTCGGCCTCGTCTAAAATATGGCGATGCGAGTGAAGGGGAAAATCCGGAAACAGTGCCAAACCACAGATCGAATGTCCCCGACATCTGGGTGCCCAGGGAGGGGGACAGTAGCTCACAGGAGGTCAGCAGATGACAGGTGTGATCTCAGACAGGGGAAGAGTTTGGAAACAAGGAGATCCTTCTAAATATGGTAGAGTGGATCCGATTCATCCCTCATCTAACCAACATTGCTCACACTGCAGTCGTCCCTCAGAAGGTGAGCCGAATTGTTTGCATTTAGAACTTTTATTCGGCCTGTCATGACCAATTTTAACCTGTGGACTACTTCAATGGTACAGAATAAAATAGAAGTGAGAACTCCGTGAACTACATGAGCCTCAGTCAGAACACTTGAAGAAGCCCACAGGAAACTGGTATTGACAGGCTGAATAATAGTTCTAAATGTACAATCTATTGTACAAAACACAATGTACATGTACAATCATGCATTTCGAACCAGATGTCTTACCGGGACGTCTGCAGTGTGATGCCTGTTAGCTCAAGAATGTATCCACTTTTATAAAAAATTTAAAGCAGATCCTTCAGAAAGAAAAACTACTGTCAGAGAGATTCAGTTCAATGTTGATAAACACTAAAGGTACATCTTTTTTATGATGTTTGCCTTAGCATCAGTTTTCAACATCAGACAAAACTATTGGACCTGTTTTTTTCTAATCCCCAAAAGAAGTCTGGAGCAATACTTTTTCTATTACTAGAGAGTTTATGTGGAAAACAAGACTGTGGAATTAGTTGTCTTGAAGACTGTGATTTTAAGTGTACATAAGTGTGTATTTTATGAATGATGTACATTTTCTTCTTTTGCACCTCCCCATAAAGTGCCATAATAAGTATGTCTTTGCTGTGACTGGGGGGTTAAAATGACTGTGACACACGTAAATCTGTAGAGTTAGGAATATCTGAAATCATGGCACCCAACAGACTACAGTGGAAATTCTAGGATCAAAGTGAAATTCAAGCTTAATCGTGGTGGCAATACATTTTTATAGAGCCTCAGCTATCATATACATTGTATACAATGTATTAGCTGAGGTGAACATTGCTTTTGCACACTGCTGCAAAGGTGATGGCATTTACTGTAAAATCGGACCTGAAATAGCCTCCTTTCACTCTTTGTAGTGCTCTCAGATCTGACTGCCTACTTCTTTCATATAATTTCTTGCCATTACGTCGTCTTTGCGGCAAGAATGAAAATGTTGCACAATTTGAGAGCTGTGTTTTTTGGCATTTATAAGTATTTTATATGTCCCTGTACTCTGTAGTTTCATGTGTTGGATGAGTCCGATTATGTATTTAACTGTGTAAAAATTGCTAAGAAAGTGTCTTTGTTTTCCTATAAAAGGTTTATAATCGTGTTTAGACAAAGTCATGATGGTAACTGTTGCTACCATCCTACAGTTTGTAGGTGTGTCCTTGTAAATTGGGTTTGTATGGACAAAATTACTGCTTCTTAATTGACAAGCATTGGTAATTTTCTAACATTATGATAAACAATATTCATGTTAACGAAGGTGTTAGCTGTATAATAGATCCTGATAGAATCAACTAATGATAACTCCTGTGGAAATATTTATAGATTTATGACGTAAGTACAATGTCGTTTGATACATGTACGGTATATTTTACTACCTCAGATGCATATATTTTGTGATGGTGACGGTGAGCAGCTAGTAGTATTAAGGTCACTGCAAATTAAAGCAGCTTTATAACATTGCATCTAAGTAAAGGTGAACTAATGCTGTGTCTCATAAGTTGTACAAAGTGGAATGAAAAAAAACAACAGTTGTATCTGGTGTACCTTAAATGATAAGTTTTAACCTCATTCTTGTCAACTCGTATGTCCTGAGTTTGTTGCAAGAGATTTTACATCAGAAATTCCTATACCAACCAGCAGTTATACAAGCTAAGGGGATACAGATTAAGACTCATTTAGATGAGGCATTTCCCTCTCCTAGTACTACTTATATACTACTAATAATACACACCATACATTTTACACATCTTGCCAGATTTTGACACAGTACTACAATGATTGAAGTATGAAACTTGAGACTTTATTTGATATTGTATGATACACTGCAAAGGGAACCATTTGTAAGGGATTCATACTTACAAATTTTTGTACTTTTATCATAATTGTATTGTTACCATATACATGTATTGGAGTACTGGAAAAATCAGCAGTAAATTTAGCTTATTATCAAATTGAATATTGTCATGTACAAGTTTTAGTGTTATTTAATATCACTAAGAAATTGCAGTCTCTCAACAGATGCTCTACAATATTTTATTACCATCATGATGGTAAAAACATGTTTCTTTATCCACATCATTTTCAATCTTGTGAAAATTTCTTTTGTACTAGTTCTGTGCACACATGTACTTTCTCTGACCAAAATTTAATATACCTAACATTTTTGCACAAAGTTTCTGTCATCATTTTATTACATTTGAGCATTACATGATATAAGTGATATCTATCCTAGTCTATAGCAGCCATTCAGTCTCTATTACATACATGTACATTGTGTACATGTGAATGTTAGACATACTAAAATCATTCAGTGGATATTGTTACCAGAAGTTGCAAATAACACCAGCTCTTTGGATTCAATCACAGTCCAACATCCTTTGACTGCTTTGGAAGCCAGGAGACCTTCCAGGGATAGCAAAATAATGGTGAATTTGATGCAGAGACAATTAACTTAGAAGTCGGCATCCAGCGTAAACTAGTTGACCTTTTGCTGTGATTGGTTGCCAAAACGTGCCTTCCCCGGCATGGTAAAGTCTCGAGCCGTGGTTGACAGGAATGGACCCACTAGGAAAAAAATAGACAGTGGTTAGTCAAGCAACTGTTGGATGTTAACTAAGGCCACACCGACTTAATTCCTCTGAAGACACCAAACTAGTGCGCGCAGGTGAATAAAAAAAATTTCGGCCCCAAAAATGCTACTAAACCACATGAATGCAAAGCTGGTATTGTGAATTTGCGGCAGTACATAGCGACGTGTACGACAAGCTGGCACATGCTGGGTTTTTGCAGAATTTATGAATCGGTACTGCTTCGGTAGCCTGGGTGCCATCCTCCAGAGTTACCACTGGCTCCGCACTGTTGCTAACTACCATAGAGTACTCAGGCCTAGAGCCAGGCCTCAGAGGTTCAGAGGACGTGATCTTTTATTTTTTTTTTGAGAACAGGCAAAAATCAATGCGCACGCGGATGACAAAACACTGGTCACTTCAATTTTGGAATGTCACTTTCCGAATTTGCAGACGGCCATGTTGAAATCCCTGATTTTCAACTTTGCCATTTCTGCAGGTAAAGTAAATTTTTACATACCATTTGAAAGATCATGTTATCCTCAGTACCAGGTTATTTTTTTATGGTCAAAACATACATATTTGTCAAGATATTTCACTTTAAAAATTGCAATCCCGTCGGTGTACAAGCCACACCGACGGGATCAGAAGCCCACCCCGGTCGGTAGTAAAGTCTACCCTGTCGGGGTGGAAAGTCACCCCGCACCCAGACCGCATCCAATTATCCTCATGAACACCCCATGAAAACCACTGAATTAATGAGAATTCACATCTTCACACCAGTGTAATTAGCAAGTTTGTGTGATAATTCATGAGAAGTCTGGGCTCAAAGGTTACCCCGACGGGGTTGAACAGCCCCGTTGGTGTGTTGAACAGCCCCGTCGGTGTGTCAGGTTGACAGGCTGGGCTAATGGCCTAAGCCTTCAGACCAGACTGAAAGTAATTTCCCAATAGAAGTTTAAAAATTAACATTAAACTTGCTTCTAGGTTGATGGCGGTTTATACACAGTTTATTATATCACTTCATTATTATAGTTCTGTGTGTATTCCTGCAGTTTTTCTAGAC